TTGTTGAACTATTGATTTTATTTTGATTTTATACTTTACTTTGTAACTTATTTTAGTAGATATTCATTGGTGATCTGTTCTTTATGGGGTCCTGGACTCCTTTACAGATTATCCGTATGGCTATTTATATTAGTTTTGTTATGTATTACTATTAATGCCATTAAATTGTAATAAATAAATAAATAAATAAATAAACAGTCCTTCTCAGGACTACACTCACCCGGACAATCAGACTACACCTTCACATGTTACCCCCGGGTTCAAACCATTTACTGCATAATGAAATAAGTAAAAAAGTTAAAGTAGCAATTAATTGTAAGGTAGTGAGCTCTCTGTCACTGTTTACAGGAAATCTTAACATCTCTAAAAGAGCTTTTACTTATATCTGTGGAATCAATTAGGTTCTAAATTTCCAGGCCCATGTGTGCATGCTGTGGAGCCCCCTGTGATTGCAGTGGCCACCTTATACTTTGCTAGTCCCTCAATCTTTGTTTCTTCAAGTTTTAGGATCTTGCAATCAACTGTAAATTTATCTCCAGGTGCTTCAACCAGTTTATCTAAAGCTATGATGGTTTTAGGGTAATTTAAGTGTTGTTAATTACCTTGAATTTTCATATAGTTAATCGAGATTATTTCTTACAGCAAAGTGAGTAGATAATTGTGCTTCTTTCCTGGAGGAATTTTTTTAAAGAATAGTTAGTATAGGTAATCACATGATTTCAAGTGCAATTTGGAATAAATAAGCATGAGTAAACGATGAGATCTGTAAGCTTTATGACTGGTTCATAGCAAATAAATTATCTCTAATTATCAAAAAAATATAATTACGTTATTTTTCGACCAAGACAAAAAATGTCAAATACGAGGTTAATTTTAAAATATTCAACCATCATACCAACTCTTACACGTCTTTGGAACGTAAAACTTATGTTAAATATTTAGGCGTGCTTATTGATGAGAACCTCTACTGGAAACAACACATTTTGCACACAGCCTCTAAAATAAGCACATTGACTGGTATTATTGCTAGGCTAAGACATCTCGTACCATTTGGTACGTTACAACATATATACAAATCACTGATTAAACCCTATTTATTGTATGGTATAACAGCGTGGGGCCGAGCAGACAAAACTCACAGAAACAAAACCCTATGCCTTCAGAAACGTGCCCTTCGCCTCATGTTCTCCTGTGATTATAAAACTCACGCAGTACCGTTCTTCATTTCTTCTAGTCTACTACCTCTAGATCTTCTTTACTTCAAGTCAGTGGCCATCTTAATGCATGACGTCTCAAATAACACATCACCACCTCAAAAGAGTAATTTAGCTAATTACCAACATAATATTTATTCACACAACATAAGATCATCAACAAGAGGCAACTTTTTTCTTCAAGATTAATACTCCAGTAACGAAGTGATTTCAATATATAGACAGAGTTGAAATGGTAAATTGGCCACCGTTGAGATAATGAGGGCTGACGTTTCGAGCGTTGGCCCTTCGTCGGAGCGAATAGAGGAATTGTGGGTTGTGTGTGCTTTTAAAAGCAGAGAATGGAGCTACATGGTTGGTGGGGGCATGGCAATGACAAAGGCACGAATAGGTTAGTGGAATGAAAAGCGTTCGTTGATACCTGTGGGAGTTAGACTGCCGGATTGAAAGATGACCCTTTGTTCGAGAGGTTTACGGCTCTCCGCGCTGCCTAAGTGTAAGGAAAGACCCCAGATTGCCATATGTTGCTTGGAATGATTAGGTAAATTAAAATGTCTAGCGACTGGTTTCACGTAGCTCCATTTTCTGCCTTTGAAAGTACACACATCCCACAATTCCTCTGTTCGCTCCGACGAAGGGCTAACGCTCGAAACGTCAGCTTTTGTAATCGTTACGGTGGCCAATTTACCATTTCAACTTTGTTGATATATCCAAATTAATACTCTAGATTAGACAAGCAAAACATGTCTTTTTCAAGAAATGGTGATAGAATCTGGAATAACCTATTTAATAAAATTCGTCAACTGCCGAAAGTGAAATTTAAACACAACATTCACAATATCCTCCTTCAGAAACTCTCGCAGGCAAATGATTATATTGATCTACTGGACTTGAATATGCCGTAAAAATTGAACTTATCTGCATTATCCTTCCTGCTTCTAATGTAATCTGTTTAATTTTCCTGTGAATCTTTGTCTTTCCCATATGTTATATTGGTCAATATTTAATTAGCATGTGTGATCGAATGGCGACGAGTAAGATTGGGGAGTGGTTTCGCGCGCGTTTTTTCGGGATTCAGATAGTTTCCCGGGCCTTTAGGCCAGGGAGATTGTCAGAGTTTTGGCGGAGCCCGGGTGGAATCGTTTCCTGGTTTCACAAGACAACCATTTGATTACCTTTTAATGTCATGGGTGACAAATTGAAGAGTAATTTCTCACCTATGATATTATTATTATCATTCTGTTCTCCCTTTTTATTCTTTTATATCTCATTAAACTCTGTTTACTTGTTTTCGTTATCTGAAATTAGTATTGTAATTATTGCACTTAATATTTAGCTCTGTAAATTAGTATTGTAACTATTACTTTGTTTTCTTGGTTTCATTATCTGAAATTAGTATTGTAATTATTCTTATTTGATACTTAGTTCTGAAATTAGTATTGTAACTATTCTTACTGAATTCTTAGTTCTGTAAACCTATTATAATGTATTGTATGATAATAACTAATTCTACTAAGTATTGTAATTGTAATTCCACCTAGTATAATTTGTATGTTAATATGTAGGTTAATGCGTCAATCCACTGCTCGCCTCGAATAGCTGTAGCTAACTGCGAGAAGTGGTACATCATATTTTGTATTTTGTCAATTTTTCTTAATAATAAACTCCAAACTCCAACCCTCTTCTGCACTAAATTTAATCTCTTGTGCACTGAATTACCTAAAAACTGCATTTATATTAACCAATCAGAACTCAGAATTTTTTTCATGTATATTATTAATAAAAGTACTTTGCAGCAAAATCAGCAAGAGTGGTATTTTCAAGAGAGAAAGTCCTTTGAACATATTTAGTAATATTGACATCTTGAATCACAGTCATTACTCATTTCATCCATCTTTTCCATTGGTTTTAGGAGCTCTACTCTTTCACTAACAAGACTGTTACACATTGTTTTCCTCCATTTTTACCAAAAATAAAGCTAGGTTGTGAGATGCCCTATCCCACCCCAGCTAAACAGTAATTTTGTTATTATTTGCTGTCCACCCTTGATCGTAACATCCTCCCCTGTTTCCGCTTACAATTAGGGAGGACATTGGTTTCTAGTTATGCAATGAAATATTTTTTTTAATAATTTTAACACCTCATTATGTCTATGACCAAGAAAATGTCACATGGTTGTACGTCATGTACTCTTGACGCTAAAACCATTCACATGTTACAGGTCAAAGGAATTCCATTGAAAGTAATTTTCATTAGTAAGTATTGACAGTAACCAAGATTACAGATCTGAAGTTTCCCTTCGCTTTGCTATGTGATCAGTCAAGAACACTTGCTCTGTCTTCTGAGTCAACCAATCAGCCGATTAAAAGAAAAAGCGGCCATTTGCCACCAATGCTCACTTAAGTGGTTCTCATGCTTCATGCAATTTGTTTATTGTTACAATGGGTTCTCATTAGCTCCTTCAGGATTTTTGTTTTGCTCTGGTTAGCAGCTGAGTGACAACTTTGGCTTTACAAGATAATACAACACTAAAATGAAATTTCTCTGACTAATATAGCTAAAATAATAATAAAAAAGACCAACAGGAAGTTACCTTTGATAACCTTCCCTTTGCCCAACTGGAACTCAAGTGGTTGTCTTCCTTTTGCTAGGGATGAGTCAAATATTTGTCCTTTCTCCAGTGTACCCTACAAGAGTTCATTGAGAAAATATGGAAATCCATACATTTATGGAGCCACATCTCTCATATGAACTGAGATCAGGTTTGTAAAATTCTGTTGTTGTTGTTTTAGCAGTTTGTTTGCTCCCTTTTTTTTTTTTCTTTTTTTCATAAGGTAGTCTTTTAAAGTGACAATGAAAAGGTATGGGGTAGGGATGGCAAAACCCATCCATTAATGACAGCTTGGCACCCTAGTAATTATTTTAATTGTCCTTCACGATCTTTGAAGGTGATGGATGACAGACTTGTAAGTGATTGGGAAGGGACGTCACGTGGATTATATCAATTCTTAATAGCCAGGAACAGGACCAGGACCAGGATTTATTGTCTGTTCCTTTGCATTGGTTTGTTTTGTTTGTTTGTTTTTAGTCTGTTTTTGTTTTGTTTGTCTGTTTTTAGTCTATTTTTGCTTTGTTTGAAGGCTGATAGTTTCTAAAGAAACTGGGTTTTTGTTTTGTTTGGTTTGCTTGTTTGTAAGAGCAAAGAGTGATAGGGAAAGAAAAGGAAGAGTAAAAAACCCCTATCATCAAACCCTAAATTACCATTCACAATACTTAAATTCATTTTTCCTGCCCTCAAGTGCAAGAGATGGCAATAGGAAGAAACGCATGTAGCGTAGCGTTCTAACTATACCCTTTTCTTGGCTCTCTTTGTGCTTTCAGGCGAAATGTCTTGTTCAACAAAACGACTGTCCCTCGCATGTGAGAAAATCCTCCATATAGCAATTTCTATTGACCTTTTTTAATTGAGAAGCAGACAATATAAATGTACATACTGTATAGTGAACAGACACAATGTCACCATCATATGCTTTGTCCTCACAGGTAGCAGGATTGTACTGAAATAGAAAGATCATGCATATAGAATACTTCATGGAAAGACAGTCCATATGGTATTCACACACAAGTTGGTTGTGTGGGATATTGAACGAGTGAGAGCAGCAAACAAAAGAGATTTCTGATACTAGCCAGCAAGTGCAGTCAGATTATGATGGCAGACATTTACCAGCCCTACTGGCAGCACCTAAAGTAAAATAACAAATGAAAATGCCAGACTTCTTCATAATTTTCTTAACATTTCTCAATCATCTTTTTTTTTTTGCTTTATTAACAGATAAGTATGGAAGCTTCCCTAATTTCACAAATTAAATAACTTTCTGTGTGTTACGGCAACTCACTGCTAAGAAAAGTCTTTATTTTAGCTCCAAAACATGGAAAGCTTTACACCTTTAAGCGGCTTGCATTGTGTGGGTGCGAAGACTTTGTGTCCTCTGGCCTACAACAGGCGTAATACCGACACCCGAAAACCCTTGAGATACTATCACATATCGTAACATATCCAATCATATTTATCACATATCGTAACACTGTGCAAACCTATACAGGAATATTAATAATCTCTTCACCTAGTCACTTGGATTTGATTTTGACACCTCAGTTATATTTACAATACTTGCCTAATTTAACACAATCTACATGATTAATAATATCCCTCAACTATCAGTTTTCAAATTTGGTAATAAAATAGTGCATTGAAAGCCATCACAGATTAGAGAAAATTCAGGTTACAGTGCATACATATACTGAACATATTTTCTTAATTGCTAAAATTTTGGTGGCCCAAGTGTACTACATTTTTTTTTAATTTTGAGAATAAATTTAGTCTGCTGACTTTTTCCGCCATTATTATATTTCTAATGAAAACTCAGAATGAGACTCAATTCAACAATATAAACAGTGTCACGTAATTCAACTGCTTTTCTATTAAGCAAAAATCATATTTGTTCTTGCTGGATATTAAAATTTAAATCTTACGCTTATGTTATTGGTACATGTAAGAATATGTTTCATCGTGACATTGTATGAGTTACACTGTATGTATCACTTGTAAACCAGTTGCACCTTTCTATCAAAGAACAATGACTTCCTAGATTTCTGATAAGATCTGTGTTTTTCTGTCCTCACAAATAATATTTCATGCAAACTAGATTATCAAACCCAAGATATTAAAATCGCTGCTGCCTGGAGACAAGATTTGTAATAGATTACTAATTTCCCAGCATTACGTTAAAACACCTGTCGTGACACTCCTACACAAATGGCCTATACTACAATTGTATTGTATTTGTTCAAAAACAGCAAAAAATATTCTTCAAAATCTAATTTTCCATTGTTTCTCCAAGAGAAACGCTCATAAAAACGTTATTTTGAGTAAGGATACAGCAAATATCGCGTAAAGGATAAAAAAAAAAAAAGAGAGATCGCGTGATATTATAGAATATTTGGCCGGCGCGAAGGATTAATCTGGCTCGTTCACATCACCGCAGAAATAACTGGAAAACACAATAGATTACAACTTACAATCTTATCGATATTTCAACAACAAACTTCAGCCTTGACCACTTTTGACTAACCAAACGTATATCGATTCCTTTTCGCCATAACATATTTTGCCATAAAATTCACCCGAGTCCTACCGTATGCATGCCACGTTCAATGAGCTTTTAGAGTAGTTTTCTCGACTGCAAAACAAAACCCGCGCAAGCAGGTAATCGCGACAAATTCCTTGAGTTTTCCCACAGATAATACTAACTTTACAGACCCTATAGATAATGATTTTTTTTCGAAGACAAGATGAAATCCAACTTCCGGTCAAAACTCATAAAATTTCAGAAATTGGCATGATCTCAAAGAAATAAATTATTACCTGTCATTTACTGAAGCCCATGCATGTAGTTTGTCCGAGGTTCACATACCTCAAAAACTGTCTCTAGATCCTTCTTCTTCTTGGCTCCAAAGGCATACTGACATAAAAGGAAAAGGAAAAGACTACAGAATAGTAATCTGAAGTTGTTCTCCATTTGAGATCATTATCCAATTTACGTTATCTGTGAGTGTAAATAAATGTTGGCCGTGATCTACTCGTGGCAAAAAGAGGCAGGCAACTTTTCTGATTGGAACCTCGAGAAAACCTGGGAATGAATCTCGAGTCAATATGGCGGACGAAGGGAGCCTAGAAGAATTGGAGAAAAAGATTGACTCTCTATCGCATCCAGAAGTGATGGCTCTCTTCAGTGATAAACTAGGAAAGATAATGGGAGGTACATTGCTTATTGGATTGCTAAATGAACCAACTTTCGATGAAGTGAACTCGTAGATTGCACTGGAACATAGGGTGTCTCGAAACTTCAGACCTCGAAACGTCGACCTCTGACCTCAGACCTCGAAACTTCAGACCTCGAAACTTCAGACCCCTTGAAAAGTGATTGAGATTTATGTTTTAACAATCAACGCAGTTAAAAAAAGAAAAGTGATTGAGATTTGTTTTTAACGTAGTGAATGAATATTAACGGCCTATCCGCACTAGCGACAAATTTTCTTTCATCACCGACGCTGCATAAGTGCGAATGGTTTCTCGCGACTTGACAGTTCCTCGAAGCCGACAAATTTTTAGACGCGCCGCCAACAAAATTTGTCCTGCGTAAACCTTGGCAAAATCGACAAATCATAAACGAAACCGTGATAAGTTGTCGATCATTTTTCGTAAATGCTAACACCCGTGTGGTAATCGAACTGATTTCAGTTTACCAAATGATTGCAGTCTTTCGTTGCCAAACTCGCGAAGTTTACAATTTCAGACAAATTAAGACGAATCCTGGTAACTGGAGTTTGAATCCATACGAAATTTAAAGGGGTCTGAAGTTTCGACATGTTGAAACTTCAGACCTCCAAACTTCAGACCTCCAAACTTCAGACCTCCCAACTTCAGACCTCCAAACTTCAGACCCCTTGAAAATTGAATGAGATTTATGTTTTAACGCAGTGAATGAATATTTAGGGCCTTTCCGCATTAGCGACAAATTTTCTGTTATCACCAACACTGTATAAGTGCGAATGGTTTCTGGCGACTTGAAATATTGGATCTAGATTATCAGATATTTCTGAGGGGTTCATAGTATAGTTCTCACTGGTTTAGGAGTATAACTGTTAAAGAAGATTAAAGAAAACAAGTGTACAAAAACGTATTATTCTGGTACTTAGCATGTAGGATATTGATTGTTGCACTGTCCGGGGAGTTAATGTTTTCCTTTTTTCAAAGATTACACCCAAGAAAGTGAAAATTTTTCAATTGTTCTTGTCGTTCTCATTTTTGGTTTTAACAAAAATATAGGAAACCTTTTACCTAGCTGTCTCCAATGATCAACGCGGGATTGTTGCGTGACATGTCACTTAGGGTTAGTCACGATAGTTAGCGTAAATAAACATTCATGTAGAACTGTATTTACAATTTCAATCTTTTTTCAAGGGGTCTAAGGTTTCGAGGTCTGAAGTTTCGACATGTCGAAACTTCTGACTCCTTTAAATTTCGTATAGATTCAAACTCCAGTTACCAGGATTCATCTTAATTTGTCTGAAATTGTAAACTTTGCGAGTTTTGCAATGGAAGACAATCACTGCAATCATTTGGTAAACTGAAATCAGTTCAATTACCCCACGGATGTTAGCGTTTACGAAAATTGATCGACAAGTTTATCACAGTTTTGTTTATTTAGTCGATTTTGCCAAGGTTTACGCAGGACAAATTTTGTTGGCGGCGCATCTGAAAATTTGTCGGCTTCGAAGAACTGTCAAGTCGTGAGAAACCATGCATTGGCACTTTAATATACAGTGTCGGTGATGACAGAAAATTTGTCGCTAGTGCGGATAGGCGGTTAATATTCATTCACTGCGTTTATTAAAACATAAATCTCAATCACTTTTCTTTTTTGAACTGCATTGATCATTGAAACATAAACTTCAATCACTTTTCAAGGGGTCTGAAGTTTCAAGGTCTGAAGTTTCGAGACACCCCTGGAACATGGCCGCACTAGTGTTGTAAACGTTCGTCAGCAAGATGAACAAGGGACTTTCCTATGTAAGAAGAACCTCAAATGTTTTCTAACTTAAAACTCTTAATCGTGGAATGACTGTTAATTATTGATAGAGAAATAGCATAAGAATATGAAAATAAACTAATATTAATTAGGAAAATATTATTATATATTAGACTTACCATGAAAAATTTAACTGGTCATCGAGAGCTTTCAATCGGTATGCAATAGCATATGAAGTTGACACGATAACCCATTATATACAGCAGGTATTATATGCAGCATGCTCAGCAAGGCCTGGCTGCCTAGTTTCCAAGACCAGTTGTGTAATGTTCTCAAACTTTTGCAATGACTCATAGAAGTCCCTTATTTTGCAAATTGTTTTAAAAATGTACATTGTATGATAAAACGATTATTGAATTGGGTTTTCACATGATTTGATGAATTGCCAAACCTTGTGTCTGTGTTATCTGCCTTACCCTTATGGCTTTGGCTGGCAACTTAGACCTTGGTTTTGATAAACCCAACCTCATCCAATAATTTCTTATAGTAAGGATATACACATGTGCTATACAGTAATGTGGAAGGCGCCTTTCTTGTGCACTGATGGCAGGCTAAATCAGAATTGATTGCCAAGTACCATTCACCTCCGAACAGTCAAGAGACAGAACTGCATGTCAAGTGGGTCATTTCTGACCATGTTTTGGTAAACTAAATTTTTGTTTTGGTGTGGTTTCTACTAATTAAAAACAACTTTTTACTCCAGTGTAAGTGACATTAGTGGGCATTGATACCTCATCCCTTTGCAGATTGGTTCATATCCTCCACTATTAACTCCACTTTGGTGAATAATTATCAATAATTATATTAGGTATTATTAATATTTTCAACTCCTGAGGAAACCCTGATGGACAGAGATGAAAGCCAAAAGAGGAGGGCCGGGTTGTTCAAAAGCGGGTTAAGAAAACCAAGGGTTCATGTGAAATTTAATCACAGATCTGAAGGCTTTGAAATAATTTGATGAGGGAATGCTCTAAAAGGAATAGGGAAAATTATCCTAAAAAAGCTTTTGAATAGAGAAATATAGAAACCTGGATTGCAATTTAACCCTGGGTTAGCACTTATCGGTCTTTGAACACCTGAGTCCAGAATGTTATTTATTTGATGGTTCTATATATGCAGTGTGTACATATACTGTGATGCATAAATTTTTACAACACCTTCAACCATAATTGTCATCCAAAATGCAACAGTGTATGACTTAAAGAGGGTAATACAATAACACATCTCACTTGAACTTTCCAGGGAAGGAGGCCCAAATGTTGTCTCTTGGTAGGTGGATTTAAGAAATTGAATCATGTTAATTTGGCACGTGTACTATTTTCTATAGGCAGGTTGTTTTCATTTAATATTAACTTCTTCCAATGCTAGCTTTCAGTCCTCT